TATATATATATATATATATATATATTTTTTTTTTTTTTCCCCCAAGACAGGGTTTCTCTGTAGCTTTGGAGCCTGTCCTAGAACTAGCTCTTGTAGACCAGGCTGGCCTAGAACTCAAAGAAATCTGCCTACCTCTGCTTCCCAAGTGCTGGGATTAAAGGCATACGCCGCCACTGCCCGGCTTATTGGTTTAATTTAAAAAGAAAATTTTAGATTATAATGTGTGTTTGTGTGTCTGTGTTTGCGTTTGTGTGTTTGCTACAGCTCATGTAGTGGTCAGGAGGGCAGCTTGCAGTGATCAGTTTTCTCCTACTGTATGAGATCTGAGTATGCAAGTCGAGTTGTCAGGCTTGGCTGTAAGTGACTTTACCTTACCCACTAAGCCATCTCATTGGCCTGCCTTTTGTGTGTTTTATTCTGTTTCCCACTTGATTTATTCTGTTTCACATGGGTACTGGAGATCAAGCTCAGGTCTCCATGCTTGCACATCTAGTTATGACATCTCAGCTCCATCGCTGTTCTTTTTAGAACTCATATCTGTTATAGTCTATATAAAATAATTTATTGGCTTTCATATGAAGATAATGTTACTTAATATACTTCTGAAGTCTTTTGTGTCTGCAATTTGGAGAGGGTAATTTTTGTAAAATCTAAAGTAATGTATGTCTTAACTGTTTTTAAGGGCTGAATCAGTGACTCGTAGGGCTTTTCTAAAGTTATGTGGCTGAGAAGGGGACGAATATGCAGTTTGATATTTAGTGCTTTTTTTAGGGTGTTGACTTTTAAGGACCTAACAACTCAAGTTAGGTTTCTGGTGCATACCTGTAACCGTAGCACCCACTTCATGGGTAGCTGTTGTCATCACATGCAGCTTTATCTAAAGAAACTGGTGAAAAGGTCCAGGTGCAGCGTCACAGGTCTTCATTCCAGCAGTGGGGAGGTAGAAGCAGGTGCATCTCTGCGTTTAAGATCAACCTGGTCTATATAGCAAGTTTGAGGCCAACCAGGGCCACACGGTGGGATTCTGTTGCCTCCGAAAGAAATCTATAGATTTTATTTTGTCATCCTTTTGTTGTTTTTGTCTGGCTTTATAAACATTTCTAGCTAGTTAATGATTTCATTTATTTATTTATTTTACACCCCAATCACAGTTTCTCCTCCCTCCTCCCCCATTCCCTCCCCCCATGATAATGATTCAAAGGCATTGTACTTTTAGTAACTAGGTAATTACTGTTTCTCCTGAAACTTAATTAGGAATAAGATAAGAACTAATAAAATATCCAGCTGGGGAGATAGCTCATAGGTAAAATGCTTGCTGCCTAAGGAGCGGTAGTGGCGCATGCCTTTAATCCCAGTATTTGGGAGGCAGAGGCAGGTAGATCTCAGTGAGTTCGAAACTAGTTTGGTCTACAAAGTGAGTTCCAGGACAGCAGGGTTGTTAAACAGAGAAACACTCAAAAAAACCAAAAAGAAAACAAAAAAAAAAAGATTAATAAAATGCTTGTTGCCTAAACGTGGAGACCAGAGTTCAAATGCCTATATTCCACATAAAAACTGAGTGGGCAGACCAGACAGCACCCTTGTCCGTAATAACGGAAAAAAAAAAAAGAGAGAGAGAAATAAAAAAAACTGAGTGGGTGTGGCAGCCTCCCTAAAATCCTAGCACGTGGGAAATGGAATCTTGCAATCGCTAGAGCAAACTATGTAGTCAGATTAACTGAATTCAGTCAGTGGAAGAAATGGCCACAGATTTTACAGTAGTTCTACTACTTGCTAAACTTTAGATGAACTGTCTAACCTCTAGGTCTTAATTTCCCGTGTGTGTGTGTGTGTGTGTGTGTGTGTGTGTGTGTGTGTGTGTGTTGTGGTTTGGTTTGTGTTTTTGAGACAGGGTCTCACTATAGCTCCTAGCTGTCCGGAAACTCACTGTATAGAATAGGAGAGCCTCAAACTCATAAAGGTCCAGTAGCACCATGCCTGTCTGCTTCCAGCCTTAATAATCATGGGCTTAACCCTCTGAAACTGTAAGCAAGCACCTAATTAAATGCTTTCTTTTATTAAACTTGTCTTGGAACCTGGCGGTGGTGGCGCACACATTTAATCCCAGCACTTGGGAGGCAGAGGCAGGAGGATCTCTGGGAGTTCGAGGCCAAAGACCTCTCTTGGTCATAATGTCTCTTCACAGCAATAGAACAGTGACTTAAGACAGCTTCTTCTGGTCTTAAAATACATCCCAAACATGTGGCATAAGAAATTTTGACTAAGACTTTAAGTAGAATAGAAACACTAATACTTCCCTCTCCCCCCTCCCAGTTGGTAAATTAACTGATTTATTTAAAGGCAGGATATACAGAACTGAAGCCTTTCTAGAGCTCAGCCAGTCATGTTGGCCTCTGCAACACTGTACCCAGCCAGAAGTTCTTACTTAGGAATTTAAATATTTGCCTTGTAAAATTGTACACACTATGTATGTGCCAAACTTAAAGTGATTTTTTTTTATCAGATAAATTGCCATCTTAGGCAATATAATAATGGTATCTTAGTCCTGGAGAAATGGCTTAGCGGTTAAGAGCGCTGCTGTTCTTCAGAGGACCTGGGTTCCATTCCCAGCACCCACATGACAGCTCATAACTGCCTGAAACTCCAGTTCCCTGGAATCTGACACCTTCACACCTATGCACATAAAATAAAAGTTAAATAAATTTTTTAAAAAATGATATCCTTGTTTCCTAATTATGTAAAAATGTGCCTCCCTTAAGTATCAGTAAGTCCACAAAACACAACTATTTTGGGAGTTGAGGATTTATTTCCCCCATAGTCTTAGCAATGACAAATCTTGTAAAAATTGCTGGTTTTTTTTTCCTGTTGCTGCTTAAATCTGGTTGGCTGTTTAAGTAAGCAGAGGAAGTGATTCCAGTGTAACTTCTGTTTACTCTACAGTTGATATGTATTCCATTTATTCCTTACAACACTCGGGAATTAACAGAAAAGCTAGCCAGAGGACTGGGAATTTTACCTAGTGTGTACATCACAGCACCATAGAGAAATAGCAAACAAACCCACAAAGCTTAACGTACTTATATAATCTAGTAAATTCAGGAAACAGATTCTCCGTCTGTGGGCTGCCACAATAGCTGGTGGTTTGTCACATTGCATAATCTTAGGAAACATTTTTTTTTTTACTGATAAAAGAAAATATTCCTGATAATTCAAATTTGTATTTGGTACTTTTAAAAGATTTTTTGTTTGTTTGTTTGTTTCTTTGTTTTTCAAAACGGTATCTCTGTAGCTTTGGAGCCTGACCTAGAACTTGTTTTGTAGATCAGGCTGGCCTCGAACTTACAGAGATCCACCTGCCTCTGCTGGGATTAAAGGGCATATGTCACCACTGCCCGGCAAAGAAGTTGTTTATTTTTTTTATGTTTTTGTTTTTTTGAAAATTTATTTATTATAGATAGTGTTTTGCCTGCATGTATGCTTCCACACCAGTAGAGGGCACCAGATCTCAATTCATATGGTTGTGAGCCACCATGTTATTGCTGGGAATTGAACTCAGGACCTCTGGAAGAGCAGCCAGTGCTCTTAACCTCTGAGCTATCTATATTAGTTACCTTTTAAAAATAACTGTGTTTAAGTACCTGGAAAACAGCTTGAAGTAGGAGGGACATATTTTGGCTCATGCTTTGAAGTAATACAGTCCATCGCAGCTGGGAAAGTTGACAAGTAGCTCCAAAGCTGGAGGAGCCAGTGGCAGCTGCTTGTAACACTTGCTTTTGGAGATAGTCTTGCCAAGGCTAGCCTTAATCTTGTGGTCTTCCTTCTGTTATATTTCCATCACACTATGATTATAGGTTACACCACCATATAGGATAACACTTGCTGCTTATGGTACAGCAGAAAGCAGGAGCTTGAACCAGGCTATAGTGCTGTAACCTTAAGCCCTTCCCCTAGGCCCTGTCTCTACCAGGTAGGCCCTGTATCCACCAGATGGAAATTGTGGAAGCAGGTGAACCCACGGGAAACATTTCATACCCATTTGAACAGTAGGAGGAATGCTGGATTGATTGTCACAGTTATTTTACCTTAACCACATGCTTCTGAGTCTCCTAAAGCCTTAAATTCAAATGTGTCCTAATGTATATTTTTATTTATTCTATGACTTATTCTTACACATTTTGTTTTTAAGATTCTTGGATCTCGCAGTCAGCATCATTTCCTCGTAACCAGAAACAACAAGGAATGGATTCTTTATCACCAGTGGCCTCACTTCCTAAACAGAATTTCCAGCCCTCAAACCAGCATCTTACTAAACCTGTTAAAATCACTTGTGCAAACTGCAAAAATCCTCTACAGAAGGGGCAGACAGCTTATCAACGAAAAGGATTAGCTCACCTCTTTTGTTCAACCACCTGCCTTTCTTCTTTCTCTCACAAACGGACTCGAAAGACACGGAATGTAGCATGTAAAAAGTAAGCAGACCTCAGTGTTTCTCCATGTGGGATAATATAAACAAATACTCTGCATACACTGTAAGCTAGACTTGTAGATGTTGCAGAGATGTTTTCAAGTTGTTTTTTATTTTCTTAAAGACTTATTTACATATATGAGAGTGTTCTATCTGCCCGTACATCTTTATACCAGAAGAAAGCATCAGATGCCACTGTAGATGTTGTGAGCCACCATGTGGTTGCTGGAAATTGAACTTAGGACCTCTCGAAGAGCAGCCAGCACTGTTAACCACTGAGCCATCTCTCCAGTCCCAAGTCCCCCACCCCCACCCATTTTCAGGTTTTTAAAAATTGGGGTACTTAGTTCCCTTCTCTTAGGTGCTACTTTTGCGACCCCCCCCCTTTTTTAATTTTTTTAGGTTTTTTTTTTTTTTTTAAGACAGGGTTTTTCTCTGTAGCTTTTGTGCCTGTCCTGGAAACCACTCTGTAGACCAGGCTGACCTTGAATTCACAGAGATTTGCCTGCCTCTCTATGATTAAAGGTGTATGACCACCGCCCGGCTTATTTTTTTATTTTTTAATATTTATTTTTTATTTTTTATATAATATATAATAATTATATATAATTTTATATATATATAATTTTGTTTGTTTGAGACATGGTTTCTCTGTAGCTTTGGAGCCTGTCCTGGAACTTGCTCTGTAAACCAGGCTGGTCTCACATAGTGAACTCACAGAGATCCACCTGCCTCTTTTCCTCAAGGTGCGGGATTAAAGGCTTAGACTACCACCGCCAGCTTCAAATTTATTTTTATGGGGTTGTAGAGATGGCTCAGTGCTTTAGAGTACTGGCTGCTCTGATTTTTCGAGCTTCCAGGTTAACTATAGTTAACTCCAGTCCCAGGAAATCCAGCACCCTCTTTTGGCCCCAATGGGCATTGCATCCATGTGATAAATATACATGCAGGCAAAATAACGATACATATAAAATGAAAATAAAAAAATTTAAGTGTGTGTGTAGTTAAAATGCCCCAAAATTCAGAGATGTTGCATCGCCCAGTAGCTAGGGTTAACAGCTGATACTGAACTCCCCCGTGGAGGCTTAAGTTCTCTCTACAGCAGCACATGCACCCAAGAGCCGTCTGCTTAGCACCATTGGGTTTGCTTTTTCTTACCAGTGGTTTGGTTTGTGTGCCTGTTTTAGCTTTTTTTTTTTTTTTAAGAATTTATTTATGTGTATGAGTGTTTTGCTTGTGTCTTAAGTATACTCTGTGCATGTCTGGTTTCCTCAGAGGCCCAAAGAGGATGTTAGGTTCACTGGAATTGGAGTTATGGAGCCACCATGTGGGTGCCAGGAACCAAACCTAGGTCATCTGCGAGAGTAACCAGTACCCTTTTTGGGGGAGGAGTTGGGGTTTCAAGATGGTTTCTTCATGTATCTCTGGCTGTCTTGGAAGCCACTCTGTAGACCAAACTGGCCTCCAACTCAAAGAGATCCGCCTGACTTGCCTCAAGTGCTGGAATAAAAGGTGTACGCTACCACCACCCAGTACAGCCAATGCCCTTAAAACACTACGCTATCTCTAGCTAGCCCCAATGAACATCATTTTTAAATCTTTCTAGAATGCTAAGAATTTTAGTGCTTTTGTTGTTTTGAGATAGGGTTTCCTTATGTAGCCCTAGCTTTCCTGGAACTTGCTCTGAGACAAGACTGCCCTCAAACTCCCCTCTGCCTGCTTCTGCCTCTCAGGAGCTGGGATTAAAGGCGTTTGCCGACACTGCCTGGCCTTCAGTGCATTTCTGGAGAGTTTACACTTGAGTTTTCTTCTGTATTATGTAGGGAATAGTGGAAGTAAAGTTGAGAGTGGATTTTAAATCGTGGTGATCTTAAGACATTTGTTTTGCCTTGTGTTACAGAGATTCTCCTATGAAGACAGCAACCGTTATTCCTCCAGTGGAGTCAAGCAAGTCCTCAACAGAATTTTATACTGCATCTCTGTCTCCCTGTGAATACTACCAGGATCTCAGAAAAGAAGTTTTTACGAAGTCAAGATGTATCATGTGTAATAAATTAGGAGAGGTCTGATTCTTTATACAACTACTATTTAGGCTCATAGGCGTAGTGCTGAGTTATAAGTACCCGCTGTAAGCTATGTCATCTACATAATGTCTAGATTCTAGATTCTTAGGTTGGAAAAACTACTAAGATGTCAGAATTCTGTATTAAAAAGATTTACCACTGAGTAGTGGTGCACACCTTTAATCCCATCATCTGAGAAACAGGAACAGGGAGATCTCTGAATTTGAGCCCAAACTGCTCTACATATAGTGAGTTCCTGGAGAGCCAAGGCTATATAATAGTGAAACCTGTCTCCCCTCAAAAGAAATTTATGCGGGCTGGAGAGATGGCTCAGTGGTTAAGAGCATTGTCTGCTCTTCCAAAGGTCCTGAGTTCAATTCCCGGCAACCACATGGTGGCTCACAACCATCTGGAATGAGGTCTGGTGCCCTCACAGGCTAGTCCTGGATTTTTGATTTTTCTCTTCCTGCTGGGAGAGTCTGGATTTGTTCAGGTCTTTCAATGCTGTATGTGATCCAGGGATGGCTGTGCCAGTTTACACTTCCAGCACCAGTTTGCACTTCCAACAATAAAGTTTAAAAAAAAAAATATTTATGCATAGAGATAGATATACACCATTTTCATAGTGTAGAAAGTACGTGTCTGTTTCTGTGGAATTAGTTGTAATTCAGTAATTTAAGGACAATGAAGAAAGCAACAGATCCTAAGAATGTGTGGTTCAAGCAGAGGAATCAGATATTATTCAGGCAGTCCTTTGTTTTATATTATCCTCAATAGCTAAATCTGATGTTGAGTAACTGGGGGCCATTCAAATGAAAGACATAAATGTATTTTAGTTACAGCTTTAGAACCACCTTACTGCTAAATGCACAGACACATTCTACACATGGATGATGATTCCTTTCATCCATCTCCCAAATATTTTAAGGAGATTCAAATACTATGGGGCAATAAATTGTAAAATACTGTCTTAAGAAATTTTGTTTTCTTTTAGGTTCGTCATGAAATCAGTATTAACAGTGTAACACATAAACTGTGTAGCAACAATTGCTTTAATGAATACAGATTGACTAATGGTCTAATTATGAACTGCTGTGAACAGTGTGGCAAGTATATTCCCAAGAATACTGGACACAAGGTTCTGATTTCAGGTCAGCAAAAGAGCTTCTGCTGCCAGAATTGTGCCAGTGAATATAAAGAGGTAATTCCTTGTTTCATTTGTTTCTGTAATACTATTTCATGTACATGGGTGTTTTGCGTGCATGTTTGTCTGTGCATCATATGTATCCTTGATGCCCTCAGAGGCTAGAAAAGAATGTTGGCTCCTCTGGAACTGTAGTTACAGACAGATGTGAAGCTACCATGTGAGTCTAGGAATCAAACCCAGATCCTCTAGAAGACCAGCCAGTGCACTTAACTGCTTATGGGATTTCTCTAGCCCTAATTTAAAAAAAAAATATTTATTTATTATGTATATAATATTCTGTCTGTGTGTATGCCTTGCAGGCCAGAAGAGGGCACCAGATCCCCTTACAGATGGTTGTGAGCCACCACGTGGTTGCTGGGAACTGAACTCAGGACCTTTGAAAGAGCTGCCAGTGCTCTTAATCTCTGAGTTCTCTCTCCAGCCTTGCCCCTAATTGTGTGTGTATGCGCGCACGTGTGTGTGTGTGTGTGTGTGTGTGTGTGTGTGTGTGTGTGTGTGTGTGTGTGAGAGAGAGAGAGAGAGAGAGAGAGAGAGAGAGAGAGAGAGAGAGAGATTGTGTGAGATTGTGTGCATGTGATGGCAGTTCCCGTGGAGGTCAGAAGAAGGCATCAGATCCCCTGGAGCTGGAGTTAGAGGCATTTAGGAGCTAGCTGTACAACATTGGTTCTGGGAACAGAACTCAGGCCCTCTTTAAAAGCAACACTATCTGCATGCCTCTGCCTCCTTAGTGCTGGGATTTAAGGTGTTTACTGTCTTAGCCAGTTTATGCTTAGTTTTTTGTTTGTTGTTTGGTTGGTTGGTTTTTCAAAACAGGGTATCTCTACATAGCCCTGGCTGTTCTGTAATTTACTCTGTAGATCAGGCTGGCCTCAAACTGAAAGGATCTACCTGCCTCTGCCTCCGAAGTGCCGGGATTAAAGGCGTGCCCACCAATGCCCGGCTTTATACTTTTTTTTTTTTAATATACCTTGTTTGTATGGCTCATGTTTCAAAAGTGTCAGATGAATTGCTAAACTTCTTTCTCAGTTCAACGCACATTGTTTAATTCCCACCAGAGCTTTCGTGAAGTTGTCATTTTTGACTGTGTCCCTATGTTTCCACTTCTGTCTGTCAGTTGCAGTGTCCTGATAGGTGTGCTCTGCCTAGTTCTGCTTGGTTTTATATTTAGCAGTATGAGTGCTCTGCTTCATGTATCTTTGTACACTGAGTCCAGATCTTGGTAGACCTTATTTCTTTGATAGCTAACTGTGAGCCATTGCCTGATCTTATTTATGTATTTCAGTTTTTTAAATGTCAATAAAATTGTAATCTCTATTTCTTTACAGATAATGGAAACAAAGTCAAAAATATCACTTTTACAAAACAGAAAAAGGAATGCTGTCAGAGAAGAAAATGAAAGACGATTATATGAATCAAGTACACTTTCAGAAAAAGTAGGAGAAATACCAGAAAAAAAGGAGAAGATTTCAGAGGTAATAGAAATTGCAGCAGAATGTAGCTTAGACACATCGAAGGAGTCACATGTGAACTCAGCCCCTGAGACAGCAGTGCCTGATACAGTTCAAGAGTACCTGGGAGATGGGAGTTCAGACTCTGGTATGTCAGGTGTGCTATCTTCAGATCCAGGCTCCTGGCCCCGGATCTTGAATATGAAACAGCGTGATATTCTTGTCAAAAATGATCCACCTCAAATAAGAAATTTTCATTTTCCAAAGGACAATACGGGGAGGAAGTTTTCCGAAACGTACTACACACGGATCCTTCCCAGCGGTGAGAAGGCCTCCAGGTCCTGGCTGCTCTATTCAGCCTCCAAAGATGCGGTGTTCTGCCTATATTGCAGACTGTTCGGGGAAGGGAAAAATCAACTGAGAAATGAGAACGGGTGCAGAGATTGGCAGCATCTGTCCCATATTCTTAGTAAACACGAAGAGAGTGAAATGCACATCAACAACAGCGTGAAGTATTCAAAGTTAAAATCTAACCTGGAAAGTAAAACCGATGAAAGTAGAGACCACAGACTTAATGAAGATGGGGAAAATGGTGTACTGCTGTTGTACACATAATGTCCTGTCTGCTCTAGACATGACAGTGTCTGCACCACCCAGAAAAGTTTAGTACCAGGAGCCAGTACCATTACACTGTGGCATTCTTAAGTGGAGCTCTTACAGGAGTTCATTTCCAGTATGTCCAATAGCAAATGAGTAGTAAAAATCTTCCTGTCCAGATGCAAAGGCAATTGGAGTGATTATTAAAAGCAGTTTGGGTTTTGTTACTATGTTACTATAACTTTCACCTTGTTAAAGTTATTCTCAGAGGACTCCCACTTAATGGCCAAGAGCCAGAGAATACAAGATACATAAGTAATAAGCATTTTTGACATTGCTAAAGGAAATATGTTCAGGCCAGGCAGTGGGGGTGCACACCTTTTAACTCAGCATTCGGGAGGCAGAGACAGGTGGATCTCTGTAAGTTCTGAAGCCAGCCTAGTCTACAGAGCAAATTTCAGGACAGCCAGGGCTATACAGAAAAGGAAAAAAAAAAAAACCCTATCTTGGAAAACCAAAAAAGAAAATATTCAGTTTAAGAACAGAATAGAATCTGCAGCTACAGTTATTTGCTAGTAAACCAAATTCTTGTTTTTTTTTAAAAAATTTTTCTCTTTGTGCAAATCCGTTCATTTGTTACACTAAATAAAGGTAATTTGAATTTATTGGCTTTATATTTTTCGTTTTCAATTTAATCTGTAAATGTTTTAGCTTTTGTTATATGAGAATTATAATTATAAAGAATATAGCTATTTTTATGTTAGTATGAATACAAGAATCATTAAAAGGTGTATGTGTGTATGTAGCTGCATGGTAGTGGCACAGGCCTTTATTTCCAGCACTTCGAAGGCAAAAGGCAGGCAGATGTCTGAGTTCAAAGCCAGTCTGGTATCCATAGCAAGCTAGGACAGCCAGGACTACACAGAAAAACTGTCTAAAAACTAAACAAAAATGTGTGTGTGTATATTTAACATTTCAGTGGTATACTTTTTCCTGTGAAAGTATATTCCATGTATGAGATTTGAAAAATTAGGAATCTAAGAAAAAAATTTTCAAGATTTAATTCATTGTATTTTTTTCTTGTATGAAAATCCTTATGTGGTAGCCATAGTTGGAGCTTGGGACAGAGACTCAGATATGGGTTTTCACAATATGGCCAGTTATTCCTGATAAGGAGACTTGGTGAATACAGTATTTTTCCAGACGTTGGGGGTCAGGTAGCTGCAGGTCTTAGAGATGGCAAAGGTTGGCAAAGTTGTCCAGGGTGGCAGCCATTGGCTGATTTTAGATAGTCAATGCCAGCCATCATCAGAAGCTTCTTGGGTACAAGAGCAGAGACAATGCTAGTACCTCTGGGGGCAGGGATGAAACATACCAGCAGAGTCACAGTGACCTGTCACCTTTCATGGAACAGTGTGGGACTTGTCGATCTTGTTCCCACAGTAGTTTCTCTGTGTAGGAACAGTGGAAACCTTGGTCAAGATGATAGCCCCTTGGATGGCAGCTGTTACCTTCTTGGAGCACTTAACAAGACCAGCATGACCATTGTAGTTCCCAAAACATAGTGACAAGGGGCTGGAGAGATGGCTCAGTGGTTAAGAGCACTGCTTCTCTTTCAGAGGTTCTGAGTTCAATTCCCAGCAATTACATGGTGCCTTCATCTGGAATATAGGCACGCACACAGAACACTACACAGAGTCAATCTATAAAAAAAAAAAAAGTGACAAAAGCCTTGACCTTGTCTGCTGGCCAGCCTGAGTCTGCTTCCTCACCGGCATGATCTTTAGAACCTCATCCATTAGGGATGAACCCAGGAAAAAAGTCAGTAATCTAAGATTCCTTAATGGACAGGGAGAACAGGGAGATCTTGAGATCTCCAAGGACTTTGGTAGTAAGCCCACAGAAACTGTTAAACTAGCTCTTCTATTTCTATTCGCCTATATTCTGTGACGGGGCTTGGTTATTTTTCTCCTGCCATGTATGCTTGACTTGTCCCCTATGCCTTTCATCCCTCTGACTTCCTCTCTGCCTGAAATCCCACCTTTTTTCTCTTGCCTAGCTATTGGCTGTTCAGCTCTTTATTACACCAATCACAACAACAACATAATTTTCACACAGTATACAAATATCCCACAACAGACTTCATGTCCTTGACTAGACAGCCTGGCTTGGTGATGTGTTTGTATTCCTTGTTTTCGGCTTCACCTCCACAATCCTGGAATCCTGGACCACAGCCACAACCTCTACTGCTACTCCGGAAGCCTCCCCCAACCCTGGACCCCAGGGTTCTCCATGCCCTTCTGCTCCAGCATCATCTATCATTTGATGTTTTCCCAAAGGAGAATAAGCAAATCTAAATATTTCGATGGCCATCTAGGTTCCTGATCACCCTGAATTTGATAATTTTCTCTTTTGCTTCTGATTTCTGATAGTAATTTTATCACCTATTAAATTCTTAGGATGTGGGGCTGGAGAGATGGCTCAGCGGTTAAGAGCATTGCCTGCTCTTCCAAAGGTCCTGAGTTCAATTCCCAGCAACCACATGGTGGCTCACAACCATCTGTAATGAGGTCTGGTGCCCTCTTCTGGCCTGCAGGCATACAAGCAGACAGAACACTGTATACATAATGAGTAAATAAATATTTTTAAAAAAATTCTTAGAATGTATGAGTTGTTTTGTTTTTTTTTTCCCCCA